CCCCCCCCGCCAACAGTGCTGTGGATGCCTGCAGGAGCTCCCCACTTAGCTCCACCGCTGCCTGCAGGAGTTCACCATGCCCCACCAGCCTCCAGGGGCACTGCTAGGTCATCTGCATCATTTCTGTCAGCAGTTTCCAGTGCTAACCATTATAAACTCTCTGGAAGGAGAAATTCAGGTCAATAATCTTTTTCTGGTGAATCGGGATGTCTTGTTACTGCTTTCAGCCATTTAGTAAATTGCATCCAAACACTCCAGGTGTGTTTCCAGCTCTGATTTCTAATCAGATTATTAGCAATCTGACACTCCCTTTGGTCTGGATTCCAGCTTCAAAGTGAAATTTGGGAGCAGCAAATGCCTAAATAAATGATGCATAGAATGCGCATCTTTGTGTTGCCAGGGAGATGCTGGAAGATCCTCTTGTGAGCACATGGCAGGATCTGTGTCATATCACAATGGTCAGTCAGCAGTCATTCAGTGATAGTGTGGTAGCTCCAAAACATTTTGTCTAATTATTAAACTACGTAGCTTATGCTATTTATTTAATTTTATTCTCTGACCAGTTATATAATGACTGTCATGCTTCTAGTAACACAGGAGTGAATGGCTGCTCTCTGACTTGGGAGCTATTTTTACCTTCAGTGATTTTCATCATGATAAAAATATATAAATAATTAACCTACGCATTGAATAAATATGTTGTACTGTGCACGGTTTAGGTGGTTTATAGGCCAGCCTATGTTAAATTGGTGTGAATAACAGTTACACAGGTAGAAACACTACTGTGTCTAGACTGAGTCTGGTTTTCAAAGTGATACTTCAAAGTTAGTCCTTTAGAGAGTTGCATATGGCACAGAAGTGCCTGCAGGGCACTCATTTAACATTCTGTCCAATTATATGAATGCATAAACATAAACAAGTCTCTTTTGTGGTTCACTCATGTTTAATTATAGCTGTACACAGTGATGCAAACTTGATGTTGCCTGTATTAATAAGATCCCCAAAAGGAATCATTTTGGGTCAAATTTTATTCTTCCTATTGGGTGCAAATTGGACTTCAGTGCCTACACCTGATTCTATTCCAACCTCCTTGAGTCCCTGAGAATCCATTAATGCATCTACTTTTGTAGCAACCACCCTCTTATCCTTTAGATCAGGCCTGTCCAACTCATGGCCCACAAGGCTAGGTGTAGACAGTCAAAAAGCCCAAGGCTGAATTGATCGAATCTTTCCAGGTTAGTCCAAGCTGCATAGATTGAACCAATAAGTGAACAGACATTCACTTTTGATTCCAGACATGTATCCACGTGCTTGCAGTGGCCCAGGCCAGGTGCCAGGGGCCGCTAGAGCACACTTCCTTGTTTGGCTGAAACAGACAGCTTGGGCCAAGGCTAGCCCACCCACCCTGTGAGAAGGTGGGGGGGTGGGCAGGAGTTGTGGGGAGGTGCAAAGCATCCTGGGATGTTGGGGGGCTGAGTTAACTTGAATCTGGTGGGGATTTGGGACAGAAGTTTGATAAACTAATTTAACTTGAATCAGGTAAATGTGATACTACATCCATCTTAAACCGGTTTCAGCCCTTTTGAAAGCAACTTATGTCCACTGAACTTCTGTGGTGTTACAGATTTGAACCAGTTTCCAATCACTTATACCGGTTTATGTGTAATTTGTATGTCCCTAGCCTAATGATGTATGCCCCTAGCCCAAAGGGTTAATTTGTGGTCCCCAGGCTCCCAGCTTGCTGCTGCTCCC